ATATATATATATATATTTCTATCACTACTCTGGTTGAGTATCAACATGCCTTCTGATACATGCTCCCCCAACAGCAGGAAAGGGAACAGCACGCTGACTTCTCCAAGCCTCTCCTTGCAATGTTGACTGTTAGCATTTTCATACACTATCTTCAACAAGACACAAAAGGCTTATTAAATATTTGATGGAATAATGTCACTCTGAGTTAAATCTTACAGTTTAAACTTGACAGTAATGATAAGATTAAAAAGAAAATAACTACCTCTTCAACTCAGGACTAGAAAATAAAACGAAGTGGTGAACTGCCTAATGCATGTAGCTTTTGATTAACATTAATGCTGCTCCACAGATGTTGAGCTAGAAAATATCTATATGCTCTCATGGCTCAGCACTTTCCTTTGTTTCCTTACTGCAGCTGCAGACTGACGGCTCTAAAAGGTAAATTTACTTCAGTCAGGTTTAAAATTCTATTAAGCTATGGCTGGAGATTTCATTTTCAGTTTTAACAATAGTCTAGACACATGTGCCTCTCAAATAGGGATAAGGAAAGTTTTCTGATGAGCAAGTCAGCTGGCCATGCTTGCTATTGCAGCAAGGTAGTCACTCACTCTGGTGGGCTTTAAGCTCTGTGGTGGAGCCTCAGACCACTTCATGGAAAGAAAAGTACTTTTAAAGGAAAGTCTGTCTGAACATATACACGTGTGTGTAAATGAAAGTGACAGACAGAAGAGAAATAGGACGGGTGGATGACATGCCTAATAAAAAATGACTAATGGACAATGATTTTCTGCCTTCACTGGTAATTTCTTTCAAGATGCAAGGTAAACTTCTGATTCCAACATTACAAGGAACTTCAGTGCATTTCTTGCTTACCTTTCACTGGACATTCAACCACAATATTTGCTCCAATTCTTGCCACAATTGTACCTCCAACAACTGCCAAGAGACTGCTGGCTTCCAGATTTGTAACATTTAACAGAGAGGACAAGATGACAGGAACCTCTTTGAAATGAAAAGGATAACCAGTTTTAAAATCTTTATTTTATTTTTATATATAGATCCTGTATGTAAATCCATGTTTAGGACACAATTTAGTTTGCAAAGCAGCAGCCAGAAACTACAGGTGGGATAAATACTAGCAGACTGAGTTCACACCTGCTGTGATTCTAGAGCAACAAGACTATCTTATTGCTACCTATTAAATCAGGCCCAGTTTCATGGATTACCAGCAAAAGAAACCATGTCACATTGGAGTGGAGACAGGTGCTTAAACATTTAAAAAGTTAACTAAAATACATGCCTGATTCTGTGGATGCTACAGTCTTACCTGCACGCAAAAGCAATGATGTTTCCATATCAAAACCAAAGTCATTAACAACAAGGCATCCATATGTACCAAGCTCCTTTTGAGTAGGATTCTGAATCTGCACCTTTCCAGCAGTGTCCAGGATTACCCTGCAGAATATTCAAGGAAAGATGAAGGTTGCTACCCTGGGACAAACCCAGTTTAACCTTCTTGCAAGAGTTATAGATACAGCACCAAAAACATTTCTTAGGAGTTCAACCAGTGGATGCAGTAACAGTTCTGCCTCCTCTTTGGTGACAAAAAGGGAGCACCGAGGGATACATGCATGGAAGATTCTTTACATATCTCTCTTCTAACAAAGCTGTGTCCTAGCTGCAGCCATTTGGAGTTTGCTACTACAAACCAGAACCCCTCGGGAACAACAGCATGAATAAATCAGATTACCACAATTAAAAGTATTAGGCTTGGCAAGAAATCCATCTCTCCAGAGCAAGCTTAGTTTTCAGCAGG